TCAACATACAATTCTTCTAATTTTTGGCTACTGGAGAAATCGTCTCCCCTAAAAGGCTTTTTTCTCGAAGATGAGAGACTGATCAAATTTTCTACATGCTTGAAACAGTGGGAAGATCCATTGCGTGAGTTCAAAAGTGCGCGATTTGCAAAAAACATTTTAGTTACCGTCCAGAATCCGGGAAAGAAAATATGGTTGGTGCGTGGAAGACTAAAGCCGGTTTGATTTCAATCCTATATCTCAAAGATCGCGCTTCAAGCTCACTGAATACTGGAGATATTGGTGCTCATCCAGAAGTTTAAGAGTATTCCTTAATGCATGCGAGGCGTAGGGCCAAAGCAGCTTTGTCGGTGAGATTGTCTGTTCTTCTTCCAGCTCATCTACACATAACCTGGCAGCTATCTCAATTTCCGTTGGAGATGTTCTTTCCAAGTGCAGGTGGACCTGATCGAAGCGTTAATGCTCGAACGCTAGAGTTCAGGGTAATCAAAGAGCACCTACTGGATCATCCATAAGCAAAATCCCTGCCGTCCATTCATAACTGAAGTTGAACTTTCCGCGCAAAGATTTTCTTATCTCGACAAACGTCGAGTCGTCTGGACCGGCGAGAAGGAAAGAAATTCTTATGAGCACTTGTATTTCGGAATCCAAAGGGAGTGGAGTCCAGTGAAGAACCTGTAAGTAGCTCAATACCTGACAGGACTATATTATTCTGCAAAACTTACAGGGGCTTTGTTTGAAACTGGAGCTTCGCTGATGTCGTTGAAAAAGAACTGAACGGTTTCATCAAAAAATGATTCCAGATCCTTCTAAAAAGAATGATTGGGTTTAAAGCTATTGCAGTAACCATTTAACGCTTACTTTTGTATGGTTCCCCAAAGAAAATGTTGCGTAGTTAATCCTTGGGATATTCTGCCAAGCTTTTAATTGTGCGACTCGATCATTTTTCCATGAAATAGCGGGAAGCCGGCTGTAATTGAAATAGGTGAGAAATCGTGTAAGCTGCTGTATCATACTCCGCTGTTTTAGTATTGCATTATTATTTATGAAGAGGCTAACATTGTGTTAATTGCAGTTTACAGAATTGAGAAATACGAGTCATGGACTTATGACGCAGATTAAAGTTTTGTGTTGCGCTGTTTCCTTGGGAACTCCAGTTATAACGTATGTATAAGAGTACAGTAGATATATCACAGACGTGTACGTATCACGCGTCAGATACACCTATGATACACCTGATAGTGCAAACAGTCTTTTGGTGAAAAAGAAAATTTGAGATTGTTAGCACCGTTGCACACATATGCGTCTTTTTATATCTATTCAAGCGTGGACTTATTTCGTTTCAACTGCTTAGGCACATATTTCATTTTTCTCAAATTATTGTATTACCAATCTTCCATGTATTAGAAACTCGTGCGCCTTTATGCAACATACCTTTGAACACCTTTATTAAAAAAAGAAATTGAGGCAAGCTCATGAACCGCCAGTAATTCTAGTTCTAAACTATATATAGGACATGGTACAGTAATGAACTTTGGTGAGTAAAGAGTATCAATCTGCCTTTCCTCTGTCTTTATTGAAGTGATAATTCAAAAAATTATTGGATTTCCGTAGTTGTGATCTGATGGTAGTTATATACAAAACTTTCCCATTCATACCAAATATGTCATGTGTTATCAATGTCACATATCACAATGAATCCATCCCTGAATAAATGAATATCATCTTCCTTCCTTCCTTTGGTTCTATCATCCGCTATAAAATTTTAACTCAGATTATTTTGCACGGTTTCTTGATAAAATACAGACTAGCTTTAATTTCTGCCGGAATAAGTATTCAAAGTAGGAATCAGCTCGCGATATTAGGTATGCGTTTGGCCCTAGAAGTGTTAACAAACTAGAGTTAATATTTGTACTTTAGCTGTTTTTGAAAAGAAAAAAAGAGAAAATAAGTAGAAGAGAGAGAAAGTTAGACATTACACAACAATTTGACGGAAGTTAACATTAACGAGTTTTCAGAGAGTTGCAATCGAAATCAGCCACTAAATCATCAGTAAGTAATACAAGTATATTAAGAAACGCAGAATAGAAAAAACTCACTGTGATAATCTGACAGAATCTATTCATGAGTAAAAATAAACACAAGAGATTACAACCATATAAAGTTTTGTTCTCAAATTAAAACTCTCTTCGAGTTTTGCGGATCAAAATGACGCGAGAAACGTGCATATCGTCAATCTTTTTCGAGAAAATTATTTCCTAAACTTGCGTAATCAGACCTCGG